GCACACGTTCTCATCTCTTAGTTCTAACGCCTCCATTTCCACAACATAATATTTCATGGCTTTTAATGGATCCTGGCATGAAAGTTGACTGTAGTGAGTGGCAGGACGGGGAGCTTTGTTCGTTGATTCAGTATGTCAAAATAAACGATCAATGCTTAGTCAGTGCACAGTTTAAAAGGTTATTGGAAAAACTACTGAATAGCAGGGTTTATTTTCGAGCAGGCAGTCAGAATTTGAATAAGGATGGGTGTATTTCATCATCGATCTTATCCATATTTGGCTATATTATGTGAGCTCATCTGTCCTTGTCCCTGACAGATATCTGATGCACTGCCCATCACTTTGTGTACCAACACACACAGTCCACATATCTCTTCTATCTCCTCTCCCAACAGTCTGAGAGTCCAGGACCAAACTTGGTTTGTTTCCACTGACGCCGCATTTTCAAAGCTGGATCAGATCAGCTTTTCACCTGGTCTAATTGTTCCTGGCAACCACAGGAACTGAGATTATCTCAAGTCTGTTTGTTTTGGGAACAATATCTGCTTGTTGCAAACCCTGCAGCTGCCAACATGGCTCCATTACATTAAATCTCTCCCTTTGCACTCTGGAAAGAAGCTTACTTAACATGTGAAATAAGCTTAACTTTCTCTTACTTTAGTTTTATTGTAGTGTAATTGTTATGTTAAATCATATTGTGTATAGCTGTATTCCATTCCTGAGGGAGTTTAGTCTGTAACATTATAACTGACATGTGGAGATGCTTGACTTGCCAAAAGCTTGTGTATGTTTGCACAACAGCCTGAATTATTCACAAAGACCAGCAACCTCGCCAATAACTACTTAATGGACTAGAAGGGGGTTATTGACCCTGTATGCTGACAAGGTCAACCGACTGTGTGTGTGTAGTTGTGTGTCAGACTAAGACGAGAGCAGGAAAGAGGGATTTTATAGTTCAAGGATGTGTCTGCCTGTGAGTGAATATTTGACTTTCTGCTTGCTGCCCCTCTTTCCACGCTGGGCTGAGAGATGAAGGCATGCATATTCATCAAGACAGGTAAAGAATGAGTCTCTATGATGGCAAGAGATGAATATGGATGGCAGACTATTCATACTTTGTGTGTGTGTCAGCCACTACTCTGAAGGTCAGAACACCTCTACAAGAAAGAGGATGGGTATTTAAGACCTGCATATCGACACAAAAGCACTCTGAGCATCCACAAGACCATAAACCCAACTGCATTTATGTCCCAATATTCTCACAGCGAAGAGTTTGGTCAAAAGAAAGCCAGGGCTTGTTCATTTACATAGCATAGAGGTGGGAAATCACAAATTACTTTGCTGATTCAAATGTTTTCATTCAGTTCAGTTCAAAGATTCATATTCACTAAGTATGTACTTTGTCCACTTATTTTCCTAAGTGAAAGCATCACTGTTCAAAGCTGTCAATGGTTCAAAGACACTTCATTGTACATCAGTAAGCGAATGCATCACATACATTTTTTGCAGAAGAAAAATTAATCAAATGCACAAAATAATACGTTTTTAATTTCCTTTTGAAAGCAGCTACATTCGGGGTTCATTGTCATTGTCCTTGTCGAATAAGAATTGAAAGAAAAATAAATAAGATAGCAGCGTGTGGATCCCACAGTCAAAATGATTAAAAGTTTAATTTTACCAGTTGCCAGTGACTGTCAGCGTTCTCCATGAAAAACCTACTTCATGCCAAGAAAGGATAAATTTGCTAAATAATCTGTGAAAGAAAAGGTTGTTACAGTGTTTTATTGAATGTCCAGTTGAAATAAAGAGCTCCAATATTTAGGTGTGACTATGGAAATATCACGCAAAAGCAAAACAGAGAGGAAAATGCCCCATAATGTCAGAAAAAGATCCATTTTACAACAATTCTTTATGGTTGCGCCTTAAAGGTCACAGTTAAAGTTGTTACACTAATGAACCCTACACTTTGAGGATAGTATTGTCTTCCTTATTAAATCACCTTACAGGACCAAAAGCAGAAAAAGGTGGACGTAGATACAGGAAGGCAGTGACAGACCTTCAGTAAAAGTGGCACTATAGCTCTCTGTGGGCTCAATTATTGCTCACCCGAACAAGAGCAGAGGGACCCCCAGTTCTAACTTGACACTTGTGTTTGTCAGAGGAGCGAGGAGATAACAGCTAATGGCTCTTCTTGATCTCAGATTTTTCCTGCTAAGCAGACACTCTAGAAAGATACCGGTGTCAAAATGTGGCAGGTCAGTCCCCTGAAGCTTGTATCGTGAGAAGAGAGCAGAGGACACTGTGACAGAAACAACATCTTACTTATATTCTTGTGCGCTGTCATTGCTCGCCAGTCTAATATCATTTTACACAGACAACAGGAAAACACACAGACACACACACACACACACACACACACACACAAGCTCTGGCCCCACATTGTTACTGTATGTGCTTTGTTTTAGTTCCAGGTTTTATTACCTTGCTTTGTGCCTCTAATTTCCTTTAAGGACTCTGTTATCACCTTCTTAGTTAAAATTCACATTCTAACTTAACTTGTCACATGCAGATGCATTCACAGCAGCAATAACGCCACAATGGCTTCTTTACAGGCTAATTAAGATTTTATTGCCTGCAAATGTCAAAGTGGAAGGGTAATGTGGAGTTGTGGTAAGAAGTCATTAACAAAAAAAACTGGTTATATTTCAAAGTAATTGTTGCCTCGGAAATAAATGTACACAGGTTGCAAGTCAGTGATTTACATCCACAGCAGGTTGTGGCAGATGTGGATGTGTTTCTCTGAAGCACATTAGAGACATCTACTGGCCAGAAAAGTTAATTTGGGTTTACACTTGGCCTGGTTGAGAAAACGATGAGATCACCTTCAAGATGTGATGTAATCTTTGGAGGATTTGGGAATTCTGCCCATAAAAGCCAATACAGCAGCTGCTTACATATTTGATCAAGAGTCAAGACTGAGTTAAGACCAGAATCTGAGTTTTTGTTATGTTACATAAAATGATCATGGCTTGTGGCTCAATAACCAACTACACACATCACTGCTCTTTCAGAAAGACAGCTAAAGCAATACGCCTTTTTCACAGCAGACATGTTGACAAAGCATGAACAGCATGGGTGTAAATAACAAAAGTAAAGATGGCTGAATTCAATTTAGCTGCCTCAAGTCCGACTATTGTGCATGCTGGCTCCCTGTCACAACTTATTGGGAATACAACGGAGCCATCAAATGTTGTTAGTAACACTTGTGCTTCGTACTATAAGGAGTCAAAGTCTCTGACAATGTGACAGTCTGAAATGAGTCACTCATTGTGTTGAACATACAGAGTATCATCAACTGAATCTGTAGCTCCTGCTTTAAAGTGAGTTTCACAGTCACAGACACAGTTAGCGACTCACTAGCTTATGAACATAATGGAGCCTTTAGCAGCTAATATAATTGGCAGAGACTAACAACAGAGCTACTGCTAAGAGAGAGGCCTTATATTCAGGTATATATCAGGTGGACGCAAACACGACTTCAAATATATATAAAGTATGTATATATATACATATATATGCACCAATCAGCTACAGCTTTTTCAGCACTGACAGGTGAACTGAATAACACTGATTATCTTATCATGGCACCTGTCAGTGG